CTGATTTAGGACTACCGAATATTTCTGTTGTGGTATACCGCAACAAAATGACTGATTTAGGACTAAAGAATACTTCTGTTGTGGTATACCGTAACACAATGACTGATTTAATACTAACGAATATTTCTGTTGTGGTATACCGTAACAAAATGACTGATTTAGGACTAAAGAATATTTCTGTTGTGGTATACCGTAACACAATGACTGATTTAATACTAACGAATATTTCTGTTGTGGTATACCGTAACAAAATGACTGATTTAGGACTAAAGAATATTTCTGTTGTGGTATACCGTAACAAAATGACAGATTTAGGACTAAAGAATATTTCTGTTGTGGTATACCGTAACACAAAGACTGATTAAGGACTGACGATAATTTCTGTTGTGGTATACCGTAACACAATGACTGATTAAGGACTGACGAATATTTCTGGGGTGGTATACCGTAACACAAAGACTGATTAAGGACTGACGAATATTTCTGTCGTGGTATATTTAACAGCCACCATGAACACGACAATAAATTAAGATCCGTACTGACAGGATTATGTACAGTTATACCTGTAAGTGTATAGTTAAAATTTAAAAATAGCATCATTGACATGTTGCTCACTGATATGTACAGTTGTTCTATAGCACAGATGGAGTAAAAGTCCTTGGAAGGGTTTGGTAAAGAACTTGAACTTGAACTTGGTTGATATATATATTTTTCTCAAATTATTAGCTATTTCAAAGTGAAGATTATACAAAATAAAACATCACACATACAAAAAGATGGACCCCAACACCATATGTACACCTAATACCAACAGTTGATTGATTATGCCGGCTATCTATAGGCTAAATGTGCTGGACGTTTTTGTTTTTGGTGATTATGCCGGGTATCTATAGGCTAAATGTGCTGGCCGTTTTTTATTTGGTTGATTATGCCGGGTATCTATAGTCTAAATGTGCTGGACGTTTTTGTTTTGGTTGATTATGTCGGGTATCTCTAGGCTAAATGTTCTGGACGTTTTTGTTGGTTGATTATGCCGGGTATCTGTAGGCTAAATGTGCTGGACGTTTTTGTTTTGGTTGATTATGCCGCGTATCTATAGGCTAAATGTGCTGGACGTTTTTCATTTCGTTGATTATGCCGGGTATCTATAGGCTAAATGTGCTGGACGTTTTTCATTTCGTTGATTATGCCGGGTATCTATAGGCTAAATGTGCTGGACGTTTTTGTTTTGGTTGATTATGCCGGGTATCTATAGGCTAAATGTGCTGGACGTTTTTGTTTTGGTTGATTATGCCGGGTATCTATAGGCTAAATGTGCTGGACGTTTTTGTTTTGGTTGATTATGCCGGGTATCTATAGGCTAAATGTGCTGGACGTTTTTGTTTTGGTTGATTATGCCGGGTATCTATAGGCTAAATGTGCTGGACGTTTTTGTTTTGGTTGATTATGCCGGGTATCTATAGGCTAAATGTGCTGGACGTTTTTGTTTTGGTTGATTATGCCGGGTATCTATAGGCTAAATGTGCTGGACGTTTTTGTTTTGGTTGATTATGCCGGGTATCTATAGGCTAAATGTGCTGGACGTTTTTGTTTTGGTTGATTATGCCGGGTATCTATAGGCTAAATGTGCTGGACGTTTTTGTTTTGGTTGATTATGCCGGGTATCTATAGGCTAAATGTGCTGGACGTTTTTGTTTTGGTTGATTATGCCGGGTATCTATAGGCTAAATGTGCTGGACGTTTTTGTTTTGGTTGATTATGCCGGGTATCTATAGGCTAAATGTGCTGGACGTTTTTGTTTTGGTTGATTATGCCGGGTATCTATAGGCTAAATGTGCTGGACGTTTTTGTTTTGGTTGATTATGCCGGGTATCTATAGGCTAAATGTGCTGGACGTTTTTGTTTTGGTTGATTATGCCGGGTATCTATAGGCTAAATGTGCTGGACGTTTTTGTTTTGGTTGATTATGCCGGGTATCTATAGGCTAAATGTGCTGGACGTTTTTGTTTTGGTTGATTATGCCGGGTATCTATAGGCTAAATGTGCTGGACGTTTTTGTTTTGGTTGATTATGCCGGGTATCTATAGGCTAAATGTGCTGGACGTTTTTGTTTTGGTTGATTATGCCGGGTATCTATAGGCTAAATGTGCTGGACGTTTTTGTTTTGGTTGATTATGCCGGGTATCTATAGGCTAAATGTGCTGGACGTTTTTGTTTTGGTTGATTATGCCGGGTATCTATAGGCTAAATGTGCTGGACGTTTTTGTTTTGGTTGATTATGCCGGGTATCTATAGGCTAAATGTGCTGGACGTTTTTGTTTTGGTTGATTATGCCGGGTATCTATAGGCTAAATGTGCTGGACGTTTTTGTTTTGGTTGATTATGCCGGGTATCTATAGGCTAAATGTGCTGGACGTTTTTGTTTTGGTTGATTATGCCGGGTATCTATAGGCTAAATGTGCTGGACGTTTTTGTTTTGGTTGATTATGCCGGGTATCTATAGGCTAAATGTGCTGGACGTTTTTGTTTTGGTTGATTATGCCGGGTATCTATAGGCTAAATGTGCTGGACGTTTTTGTTTTGGTTGATTATGCCGGGTATCTATAGGCTAAATGTGCTGGACGTTTTTGTTTTGGTTGATTATGCCGGGTATCTATAGGCTAAATGTGCTGGACGTTTTTGTTTTGGTTGATTATGCCGGGTATCTATAGGCTAAATGTGCTGGACGTTTTTGTTTTGGTTGATTATGCCGGGTATCTATAGGCTAAATGTGCTGGACGTTTTTGTTTTGGTTGATTATGCCGGGTATCTATAGGCTAAATGTGCTGGACGTTTTTGTTTTGGTTGATTATGCCGGGTATCTATAGGCTAAATGTGCTGGACGTTTTTGTTTTGGTTGATTATGCCGGGTATCTATAGGCTAAATGTGCTGGACGTTTTTGTTTTGGTTGATTATGCCGGGTATCTATAGGCTAAATGTGCTGGACGTTTTTGTTTTGGTTGATTATGCCGGGTATCTATAGGCTAAATGTGCTGGACGTTTTTGTTTTGGTTGATTATGCCGGGTATCTATAGGCTAAATGTGCTGGACGTTTTTGTTTTGGTTGATTATGCCGGGTATCTATAGGCTAAATGTGCTGGACGTTTTTGTTTTGGTTGATTATGCCGGGTATCTATAGGCTAAATGTGCTGGACGTTTTTGTTTTGGTTGATTATGCCGGGTATCTATAGGCTAAATGTGCTGGACGTTTTTGTTTTGGTTGATTATGCCGGGTATCTATAGGCTAAATGTGCTGGACGTTTTTGTTTTGGTTGATTATGCCGGGTATCTATAGGCTAAATGTGCTGGACGTTTTTGTTTTGGTTGATTATGCCGGGTATCTATAGGCTAAATGTGCTGGACGTTTTTGTTTTGGTTGATTATGCCGGGTATCTATAGGCTAAATGTGCTGGACGTTTTTGTTTTGGTTGATTATGCCGGGTATCTATAGGCTAAATGTGCTGGACGTTTTTGTTTTGGTTGATTATGCCGGGTATCTATAGGCTAAATGTGCTGGACGTTTTTGTTTTGGTTGATTATGCCGGGTATCTATAGGCTAAATGTGCTGGACGTTTTTGTTTTGGTTGATTATGCCGGGTATCTATAGGCTAAATGTGCTGGACGTTTTTGTTTTGGTTGATTATGCCGGGTATCTATAGGCTAAATGTGCTGGACGTTTTTGTTTTGGTTGATTATGCCGGGTATCTATAGGCTAAATGTGCTGGACGTTTTTGTTTTGGTTGATTATGCCGGGTATCTATAGGCTAAATGTGCTGGACGTTTTTGTTTTGGTTGATTATGCCGGGTATCTATAGGCTAAATGTGCTGGACGTTTTTGTTTTGGTTGATTATGCCGGGTATCTATAGGCTAAATGTGCTGGACGTTTTTGTTTTGGTTGATTATGCCGGGTATCTATAGGCTAAATGTGCTGGACGTTTTTGTTTTGGTTGATTATGCCGGGTATCTATAGGCTAAATGTGCTGGACGTTTTTGTTTTGGTTGATTATGCCGGGTATCTATAGGCTAAATGTGCTGGACGTTTTTGTTTTGGTTGATTATGCCGGGTATCTATAGGCTAAATGTGCTGGACGTTTTTGTTTTGGTTGATTATGCCGGGTATCTATAGGCTAAATGTGCTGGACGTTTTTGTTTTGGTTGATTATGCCGGGTATCTATAGGCTAAATGTGCTGGACGTTTTTGTTTTGGTTGATTATGCCGGGTATCTATAGGCTAAATGTGCTGGACGTTTTTGTTTTGGTTGATTATGCCGGGTATCTATAGGCTAAATGTGCTGGACGTTTTTGTTTTGGTTGATTATGCCGGGTATCTATAGGCTAAATGTGCTGGACGTTTTTGTTTTGGTTGATTATGCCGGGTATCTATAGGCTAAATGTGCTGGACGTTTTTGTTTTGGTTGATTATGCCGGGTATCTATAGGCTAAATGTGCTTGACGTTTTTCATTGTTTGATTATGCCGGGTATCTATAGGCTAAATGTGCTGGACGTTTTTGTTTCGGTTGATTATGCCGGGTATCTATAGGCTAAATGTGCTGGACGTTTTTGTTGGTTGAGTATGCCGGGTATCTGTAGGCTAAATGTGCTGGACGTTTTTGTTTTGGTTGATTATGCCGGGTATCTATAGGCTAAATGTGCTGGACGTTTTTGTTGGTTGATTATGCCGGGTATCTATAGGCTAAATGTACTTGATGTTTTTGTTGTAGCAGCAATATAAATCACTGAAGTTAACGATAAGTAATAGCATTCCAAATATAAGACGCAACTCGCATATTACACTGTTTGGTGTTTTATAATCAAGTTGAAGAAATCATGTAACTTCATGGAGTTAACCGTCAGATCATAAATTTCCTCAATGGCTATTGGCGACTTTAGGCGTTAGTGCTATTTGTATGAAACGTAGATGATTGAAGTTGTTAGACGTGCCCTGCGTTGTCCGAATGTCGTTATCACTGTAGATATCGCGACTATAAAAAGACCCGTCTAGTCTTACCGCCCTGTAATCATGATCGCCGCGCTCGTCGCTGTTCTTCTTCTCGTTGGTGAGTACACATGTTCTTTGATCAACTTGAAGTACTGAAACAAACAAGAACATATTCATTCTCTTTGTTAAATATTTAAATATTATCTGATAAAAAAAAGTGTTGGATAAGGCGACAATCGCGTGAATATTTCAGCAGTACCGGACATCTTACCATAAGGTATGGGGATATTAGCAGTAAGGGGAAGTTTGGCTGTTATCTTATCATCTTTAGGTATGGAGAAATTCTTACGATACATGCAGTGGGTGACTAATGTGGGAACCCCCTGCAGCATTAGGGATTTGCTTTGGTGTCCTCTACTGCGGGACACAAAAGCAACCAAAATAAATCTGCTGCGCCCACTGCAATATTTGGGATCTTTCTTTCTAACTACCTTTTATTTCCTAGCGCCTTGCTTGGCAACACCTCACTTTTGGCTTGAATGTTGAGCGTTCGCCCAGGTGAGGAAGGCAATGGGTTCTGTCCCCAGGCCGGGATATACCAAAGTCCTTAAAAATGGTCGTTGTTATTCACTGCTTAACATTCAGCAGAAAGGGGAATGGCAACAGCTGGTTCACCCGTTGTCAGTATAATTTGACCGGGCGGAATGCTATGCTTGGGACCTTCGGCCTGGCATTTCAGTGAGATTGCACTATAAAGTCGACATCAGATCCACGCTATCACAAGGAGGCAGGTACAACAACATACCCTGTATCCTGCATACACACACGCAAGCATGCATACACTTCACACATGGAGGCACGTCCTTAATTGACCTTAGCTGTTAATAGGACGTTAAACAAAATTTAAACTTAACTAAACTAAACTATCGGGGAATTCGATAAATCATAATGTGGTGTGTATTGGGGCTCATAAACTTGGCCATGCTGCGGTTTTCACCTAAACTTTACACCTGCGGTCCTATAGCTACATACATTTGTTTAATGATCTCTATAATGGAATTATAGGAACCCCGTGAAAAATGGAACTGGGGTCAGTTTTCAACATTGTAAATGGAACAGGGAAGCCGTGCAAAACTGACTCTCCGGTTGAAAATGGCCCCGTACGAGTGCAATTTTCCACGTATAGCCCGTTGAAAATTGACCGTGAAAAACGGAGCCTTATAATAGTCCTATTAGCTCACCTTGTCCGACCTTAGTGATCTCACGTCTTATCTGTTATCGTCAATCATCCGACCAAATCAGGTTACCGTGACCTACACTAATAGAAATTATCACTGGGTTCAGAAATATGCACATACTTCTTATTTACCTAATAAGGTCACTGTCACAAACTTTTGAAAAAAATTACCTACATTACTAAAAATTGTCATTGTGTTAACAAATTAACTTAGAACTGTTGTTATTACACTTAATTAGGTCACAGGCACACCTAAGTTTGTCTAACAAGTGTTAAATGTTAATTTCTCAGTCCTATGACTATTTTTGAGAATGTAGATACAATCTTGAAAACTAGGTCACAGTGACCAAATATTGTCAAACATTAGTTTGATGTTCATTTCTTATTAACCCGATGACTATATTGTATAGTGTAGGTCAAATTTTGAGACATAGGTCACGGTGACCTAATTAGGACACATCAATAGGTAGTTAATTTCTAAACTCAGTGATTTTAAAGTGAAGGTCAAGTTTTGAGAAAAAGGTCACATGACCTCATTAAGTTAACTTTAAGTGGATATTTTAAATTAATATATCAATGATTCGAATGGTTCACTTTTCGACGGGGTCCATTTTCAACGGGTATATGCAAAAAAATGAGTCGGGTTCCTTTTTCCACGGCTTCGCGGGTCCATTTTCAACGATAAAAACTGATCCCGATTTCATCTTCCACGGGGTACCATTTTCAATATAACACCGATACAATTGATTTGAGATTTAATGCAATGCCCTGGCAAAGTATTGTGAGCGATCCAAAGCCCCCTCTATACAATACATAGTCCCTCACCATACAGTCCATAGCCCCCTCCTTACAATCCATAGCCCCCTCCTTACAATCCATAGCCCCCTCCTTACAATACATAGTCCCCCACCTTACAATCCATAGTTCCCCTCCTTACAATACATAGTCCCTCACATTACAATCCATATCCCCCTCCTTACAATACATAGCCCCTCCTTACAATCCATAGTTCCCTCCTTACAATACATAGTCCCCCACCTTACAATCCATAGCCCCCTCCTTACATTACATGGTCCCTCACATAACAATCCATAGTCCCTCACCGTACAATCCATAGTCCCTCACCCTACAATCCATAGTTCCCCTCCTTACAATCCATAGTCCCACACCTTACAATATATAGTCTCCCTCCTTAAAATCCATAGCCCACCGCCTTAAAACAGATAGCCCCCCACTTGGCAACACATAGCCCCCTCCTAACAATTCAAAGCCTCCCCCCCCCACTCATTACAATCCATTATACCCCGCCTTACAGTCCAAACACCCCCTCCTTACAATCCATAGTCCCCCTCCTTACAGTCTAAAGTCTCCCACCTAACAATTCATAGCCCCTCAATAAATACATAGTCCCCCACCTTACAATGCAAAGTCCCCGCCTTACAATCCATAGTCCCCAACCTTACAGTCCAAAGTCTCCCACCTAACAATTCATAGCCCCTCATTACAATACATAGTCCCCCTCCTCACAATCCATAGTTCCCCTCCTCACAATCCATAGTTCCCCTCCTTACAATCCATAGTCCCTCACCTTACAATACATTGTCCCTCACCTTACAATCCATAGTCCCTCACTCTACAATCCATAGTTCCCCTCCATACAATCTAAAGTCCCACACCTTACAATACATAGTCTCCCTCCTTAAAATCCCTAGCCCCCACCTGGCAACACATAGCCCTCACCTTACAATTCATAGCCCCTTCCTTACAATATATAGCCCCCTTCCTTACAATCCAAAGCCTCATCCTTACAATATATAGCCCCTCCTTACAATCTATAGCCCCCACCTTACAATACATAGCCCCCTCCTTACAATACATAGTCCCCCACTTTACAATCCATAGTCCCTCACCTTACAATCCATAGCTCCCTCCTTACAATACATAGTCCCCCACCTTACAATCCATATCCCCCTCCTTACATTACATAGTCCCTCACCTTACAGTCTATAGTCCCTCACCTTACAATCCATAGTCCCCCACCTTACAATCCATAGTTTCTCACCTTACAATCCATATCCCCCTCCTTACAATCCATAGCCCCCTCCTTACAATCCATAGCCCCCTCCTTACAATACATAGTCCCCCACCTGACAATCCATAGTCCCTCACCTTACAATCCATAGTCCCTCACCTTACAATCCATAGTCCCTCACCTTACAATACATAGTCCCTCACCTTACAATACATAGCCCCCTCCTTACAATCCATAGCCCCTCCTTACAATACATAGTCCCCAACCTTACAATCCAGTCTCTCCCCTTACAATCCATAGCCCCCTCCTTACAATATATAGCCCCCTCCTTACAATACATAGCACAGTCCTTACAATACATAGCCCCCTCCTTACAATACATGGTCCCTCACATTGCAATCCATAGTTCCCCTCCTTACAATACATAGTCCCTCACCTTACAATACATAGTCCCTCACCTTACGATACATAGTCCCTCACCTTACAATCCATAGTCCCTCACTCTACAATCCATAGTTCCCCTCCTTACAATACATGGTCCCTCACATTGCAATCCATAGTTCCCCTCCTTACAATACATAGTCCCTCACCCTACAATCCATAGTTCCCCTCCATACAATCTAAAGTCCCACACCTTACAATACATAGTCTCCCTCCTTAAAATCCATAGCCCCCACCTGGCAACACATAGCCCTCACCTTACAATTCATAGCCCCTTCCTTACAATATATAGCCCCCTCCTTACAATCCATAGCCTCCTCCTTACAATATATAGCCCCTCCTTACAATCCAAAGCCCCCTCCTTACAATCCATAGCCCCCTCCTTACAATATATAGCCCCCTCCTTACAATACAAAGCCCAGTCCTTACATTACATACCCCCTCCTTTCAATACATGGTCCCTCACATTGCAATCCATAGTTCCCCTCCTTACAATCCATAGTCCCTCACGTTACAATACATAGTCCCTCACCTTACAATCCATAGTCCCTCACCTTACAATCCATAGTCCTTCACCTTACAATCTATAGTCCCTCACCTTACAATCCATAGTCCCTCACCTAACAATCCATAGTCTTCCTCCTTAAAATCCATAGCCCCCACCTGGCAACACATAGCCCCCTCCTAACAAATCATAGCCCCCCCCCCCATTACAATCCATTATACCCCGCCTTACAGTCCAAACACCCCCTCCTTACAATCCATAGTCCCCCTCCTTACAGACCAAAGTCTCCTACCTAACAATGCATAGTCCCCGCCTTACAATCCATAGTCCCCAACCTTACAATCCATAGTCCCCTCCTTACAATCCATTGTTCCCCTCCTTACAATCCACAGCCCCCTCCTTACAATCCACAGCCCCCTCCTTACAATCCACAGCCCCCTCCTTACAGTCCATAGTCCCCAACCTTACAATCCATAGTTCCCCTCCTTACAATCCACAGCCCCCTCCTTACAATCCACAGCCCCCTCACCTTACAATCCATAGTTCCCCTCCTTACAATTCATAGTTCCCCTCCTTACAATACATAGTCCCCCACCTTACAATCCATAGCCCCTCACCCTACAATCAATACCCCCCCACATAACAACCCATAGTTCCCCTTCTTACAAGCCATAGTCCCCTCCTTACAAACCAAACATTCCTTACAATCCATAGTCCATCACCATACAATCCATAGTCCCACACCTTATAATCCATAGTTCCCCACATTACAATCCATAGTCCCTCACCTTAAAATCCATAGTCCCACGCCTTGCAATGCATAGCCCCTCCTTACAATCCATAGTCCCCCACGTTACAATCCATAGTCCCTCACCTTACAATCGATAGCCCCCTCCTTACAATCCATAGTCCCTCACCTTACAATCCATAGTCCTCTCACCTTACAATCAATAGTCCTCTCACCTTACATTCCAAAGTCCCCCACTTAACAATTCATAGTCCCCTCCTTACAATCCATATTCCCTCACCATACAATCCATAGTCCCTCATTTTACAATCCATAGTCCTCTCACCTTACAATCCATAGTCTCCCACCTTACAATACATAGTCCCTCACCTTACAATCCATAGTCTCCCACCTTACAATACATAGTCCCTCACCTTACAATCCATAGTTCCTCACCTTACAATCCATAGTTCCTCACCTTACAATTTCTCACCTTACAATCCATAGTTCTCTCACCCCACAATCCATAGTCTCCCACCTTACAATATATAGCCCTTCTCCTCCAGTAAAACTTCGGTATCAAAAATACCCAAAGAGTTCTAAAGTCTGTAAACATTGGTTCTATTGGCCGTTCAGTGATGAAACAGTTGTTTCCATCGCTTATTGTACAGTTTTAAACGTAGGAATAATAACAGTGCCCTATTAAATCATTTAACAAAACATACTCAGGTAGTTGAAGCTTCTAGATAAGTTCAGGTATTCCATCCGGTCAGCTTATTTCATAAAACTTTCTGTCATGAAATAAATTGCTATTTCACAATACCAAAATAATACAACACACAGGCATGGGTTTAACCGCTAAATTCCGATAATTTAAGGCAATTTGTGTCAATACATATCATCCTCTCCTGGTTTCTGGATATCAACAGCAAACATGACAGCTATTCTCTCAAACTCAGAACCTTTCGCCACCACAAAACTGCTACAGGCCCCACCGACACCTTGTTTAAGTGAGAGCTAGCCAGGGACCTCCTTAATGCTCTCAAAAATCGCAATTGCTGTCTCTTTTTGGATGCTAATTGTATGTACACTTTTCAGGTTAGATATATAAAACATGTTAATGGACCTTTTTCTAGCTGACTTGGAACTCAAAAGAACACACACACACGTTTGTACTTTGTATATCACGACTTTTCACCATTTTACACTATGTGTCTACTATGTATGGAGTGGAAGCTAATCCGTTAATTATATATGACATCATACAATGTGCATGATATTTACACCAGAATACAAAGTGAAGTAAGCTTAGAAAATCAAAATAATAAAGCAAGGTGATAATCCATATTTTTAGACAACTGACATCTTGATTTCTACACATTTTCTTGTCAGAAAAGGAGCATTGTTGCAATTAGTCTGATTGTATGAATTTCGATATAAAGAAACGATGTTTTTAACAGCAGTAAAATAATGCAAAGAATACACTTGACATGATAAGTGGACTAGTAACGTCCGATATCTGGTGCGCAGGCTGTGTGGAGGGGGGCCAGAAATGCTCGGGCAGTCCCCGGAGGTACAATGGTAAGTTGTGTGGCTCTACAACCAACTACCATGACTCCTTCAAAGGAGCGTGTGGGTGTGGTCACGGCAACACGCCCTTCCGTTGGAACCAGGACCATTACGTAGCCGCGGCCAGTCAGATGTTTTTCGACTCTGGACGCAAGACGTGGTGTGGATCTAAGTGTGGACATTGCGTCAAATTGACCACTACAGGTAAAATACTAGCAGTTAATAATAATTTAATAATTGTGCTAAGCATAACTACAGGTATGGTGTCTGATATTTATCACTACAGGTATGGTATCTGTGATATTGATCAATACAGGTATGGTATTTGTGATATTGATCACTACAGGTATGGTATCTGTAATATTGATCACTACAGGTATGGTATTTGTAATATTGATCACTAAAGGTATGGTATCTGTGATATTGATCACTACAGGTATGGTATCTGTTGTATTTATCACTACAGGTATGGTATCTGTGATATTGATCACTACAGGTATGGTATCGGTGATATTGATTACTACAGGTATGGTATCTGTGATATTGATCACTACAGGTATGGTGTCTGTGATATTGATTACTACAGGTATGGTATCTGTAATATTGATCACTACATGTATGGTATCTGTGATATTGATCACTTCAAGTATGGTATCTGTTGTATTTATCACTAAAGGTATGGTATCTGTAATATTGATCACTACAGGTATGGTATCTGTAATATTGATCACTACAGGTATGGTATCTGTGATATTGATCACTACAGGTATGGTATCTGTAATATTGATCACTGCAGCCATGGTATCTGCGATTTGATCACTACAGGTATGGTGTTTGCGATATTGATCACTACAGGTATGGTGTCTGTGATATTGATTACTACAGGTATGGTGTCTGTGATATTGATAACTACAGGTATGGTATCTGTTGTACATTGTATTTATCACTACAGGCATGGTCTAAGAAGTATAACGGTAATATTGGTCAGTCCATTTTCCTAATAGTTTATCATAGTTTCCGCATTAAAAAAAAATTGTTTGTTGACTGTTTATGCTACTAACGTAATTTTTCCATGAATCGCCAGAACAGTTCTCCTGAATGGGTTTTTATGTACTTAATTATCTTGAAAACATAAATATTATTTGATTTAAACGTGATTTTCTGTCAAAAGGCATTGAGGTTCGTTCAGTTGTATTACATCTAATGGTCGTTGTAGGTGGGTTTGTGGACGGACATGGAAAATCAACTGGTGAAGGCCAATCAAAGGTCTTCATGGTGACAAACCTTTGCCCGGCGGTGTCTCCAAATATGGCTTGGTGTGCTCAGCCAACTCCCCCGTGGGAAGGTGGTCAGAACACATTCGGTTATGCCTACCATTTTGACCTAGAGAATGGCGGTGGTCAGGTTAGCCGACTTGGCTGGGATAATCCTGAAGTTACAGTCGACGAAATTGACTGTAACCATCACGAGGGAATGACCCCTAATGACGGCTTTTACAGGCAGTGTGAATGTCCTAAAGTAGGCCCCTAATTCTACCTATCTCATCTACAATTAATACCATCCATCAACAGCTGTTTAACCAATAAACAGTTGAAACGTATCACAATGACGTTGGTTTATTATTTTCAGAACAATTCGTGGCAAATATATCCCCCGTTTGAAGGTTATATCTGTAGTTAATTGTACTGCGTGGTGTAAACTAGCTTCTAGTCTGAAGCTGGATGTATAGATCAATACTTACCCATCAATGGTGGAGGCACGCAAACTCAGGCTTAGGCACTGCAACACACCAACTCAACTACATAATTTTTTATGTACACACTTGACTTGAGTCACAGAAAGACAGACAGCACAAACTAAAACTGTAAGCAAAGGCTAAATAAGGAAAAGTATTGCAGAGCAATCCATAGTCCCCCGCCAGTAATGCTTTCTTCATTAACTGAGCTGTACATCTATTTTAGCATATAGGTCGCAGTGACATACCTCCTGTTCTCCCCGTTCCAAAACATACTTGCATTCCAAATCTGGTTAGTCTCAGAGGCTGAAGTCAAAGGTAGAACAACAGGTCACAGTGACCTACATTTTGTATTTGTCATTCCTCCATCCCATACACAGATTTTATTCTGACTTAAGGAATTAACATATTTCTCTGCTATCAGTTTTAAGATATAGATAAAAATAACGCAAAAACCGTGTGCCTAAATGGAGATGAAACAAATGTAATAATAAATAGGAAGTACACAACTACACGATGACGGGGATAGCTATCATATCTGTAAGATTCCGTTAAAATCGGTCTAGTAGTTAAAGAAGAGTTGTCTGGAGAATGATTTTTCAACAAAGGGTCATAACTCCGTAATAAGAGTTTGAATGACAAATATACTACCAAGATGCACAACGTCAGGGGGTAGTTACCATATCTGTAAGCTTTCATGGAAATCGGCCCAAGTTGAGGAGGCAGACAAAGGCTTTTCAACAAAGGACCATGACTTCGTAAAAGAGGGTAGGAATGGATAACACAATACCTTGATACAAAACGTTAAGGGGTAGTTACCATATCTGAAAACTTTCGTTGAACTTGGCCCAATAGTTTAGAAGAAGTTGTCCGGACAAGAATTTTCCAATAAAGTGCCATAACGCCATAAAAAATAGTCAGAAAAAAAGAAAAAAAATACTGGATGCACAACATCAGGCGGTAAACAAAGAAAACGTTTTATTGCACCATGTTATAACACCATGTTGCCATTTCGAAATATATGTGAATTACAATGAAATAAGTGTTATTAAAAGAAAAAAAAGGATCTGTAAAACACCATGTCGATGAGATTTTCCTGACCTTCATACAGATTGCTAGACGGGGATAAAGGTCTGTCTTCAAAACGAAGTCAATTGTGGTCTAATACTGGCCTGCCCGGGCTGTCAGGTGAACAAAGTTCCCATTAAATAATTATCTGACCTCCGACCCTCTATATTGTCTTCTGGGTTACGTGTGCTAGAATAGATAATCTGGAGTTAAGTTATTTTGCATTTTATATAAAAGTTGGAGTTTTCTACGTTTTCGACGATTAGAAAGAGTTTCTAAACCTGTTTCAAAATGTAAATCTTCGATACGGGCATAAGAAGGAAGGCCGGATATAATTCGAGCAGCTTTCTCTAACTTTTCTGATTCAAATTTAGTACAACCATCCCATAATTTACAAGCATATTCTAAAACTTTTAAAATGAATGATTTATAATTTTTTAGAAGACTATTCCTATTTAGCAAATATTTCAATCTTCGTAAGACGTTAATTTTCTTCATAACTGAACTATAAATGGCATTAATATGATTCCCCCAATTGCACGCTAGAATTAAAAACTACTACCAGATGCTTATGATGGTCTGTAAAATTTAAGTCTTTTCCATCAAATTTCAAATCTAAATCTTAATCTATGTCAATAGAATTAGAAATAAATATTACCTCAGTTTTGTCTGGATTAAATGTTTCCAACACAGTTTTAGACCATAAGTTTAAAGACTCAAGATCCCTATTCAATACTGTTTGCATTTCATGACAAGATGAAGAAGACTGTAAAAAAAGAAATATCATCTGCAAAAAGACGAGCAGCTGATTCAAAGACATTTGCAATATCATTAATGTATATTAAAAACAAAAGCGGTCCAGGAATTGAACCTTGAGGAAGCCCTGCTTTGTTCAACCCTAATTGGGAATAAGAATTATTTAAGAAACCTTTCTGTTGCCTATTAAATAAATAATGCTATAACCAGGTATATAATTAACCAACTATTCCGTAAGAACTTAACTTAACCATCAAACCCTTATGCCAAACCCGATCAAAAGCCTTGGAAATATCACAAAATACCATACATACATATTTTTTTCTTCAAGGGCAATACAAATGTGATAAATTTCAATGAGCTGAAAATTGGACAGCGCTAGAATTGTTGAATGCTAGCTGTTAGCACCGAAAGGTATCGGCTGGTTGCAAAGGCCCTATATAACCACGGATAATAATTTGTGAACCGCTTTGAGGCGACCTTCGAACTAGGTTGTGATAAAGCGGTATATAAGAACCTCGAATTATTATTAGTATATACAGTAGAATGAGCATACATAAAACCAGACTGGTACTTATAAAACAATGAGTTTTCTAAGAAATAATTATGTAGGTGTTTGAAGATTACTCGCTCAAAAACTTTCCAACAGTAGATTGAAGTGAAATTGGCCTATAGTTAGAAGAAGAATGCCTGTCACCTTTTTTAAACAGTGGCATGACTTTGGCTTTTTTCCAAGCATTTGGGAAAATACCTGCCGATTAAGACATGTTAGAAATAATTTCAAGTGGAATACAAAACAGACTGAGGTATTTCTTAACGTATGATGACTGATTCCATCCTCACCCGATGCCTTACCGAGCTTCAATATCTGTAGAACATCTCGAATTTCATTACTATTTACTCTAATAGAACTAAACGAGTTTTTTAGTGTTTGGCTCAACAATAGGACCCACAGTGTTACTATCAATAGGACCCACAGTGTTACTATCAATAGGACCCACAGTGTTACTATCAATAGGACCCACAGTGTTACTATCAATAGGACCCACAGTGTTACTATCAATAGGACCCACAGTGTTACTATCAATAGGACCCACAGTGTTACTATCAATAGGACCCACAGTGTTACTATCAATAGGACCCACAGTGTTACTATCAATAGGACCCACAGTGTTACTATCAATAGGACCCACAGTGTTACTATCAATAGGACCCACAGTGTTACTATCAATAGGACCCACAGTGTTACTATCAATAGGACCCACAGTGTTACTATCAATAGGACCCACAGTGTTACTATCAATAGGACCCACAGTGTTACTATCAATAGGACCCACAGTGTTACTATCAATAGGACCCACAGTGTTACTATCAATAGGACCCACAGTGTTACTATCAATAGGACCCACAGTGTTACTATCAATAGGACCCACAGTGTTACTATCAATAGGACCCACAGTGTTACTATCAATAGGACCCACAGTGTTACTATCAATAGGACCCACAGTGTTACTATCAATAGGACCCACAGTGTTACTATCAATAGGACCCACAGTGTTACTATCAATAGGACCCACAGTGTTACTATCAATAGGACCCACAGTGTTACTATCAATAGGACCCACAGTGTTACTATCAATAGGACCCACAGTGTTACTATCAATAGGACCCACAGTGTTACTATCAATAGGACCCACAGTGTTACTATCAATAGGACCCACAGTGTTACTATCAATAGGACCCACAGTGTTACTATCAATAGGACCCACAGTGTTACTATCAATAGGACCCACAGTGTTACTATCAATAGGACCCACAGTGTTACTATCAATAGGACCCACAGTGTTACTATCAATAGGACCCACAGTGTTACTATCAATAGGACCCACAGTGTTACTATCAATAGGACCCACAGTGTTACTATCAATAGGACCCACAGTGTTACTATCAATAGGACCCACAGTGTTACTATCAATAGGACCCACAGTGTTACTATCAATAGGACCCACAGTGTTACTATCAATAGGACCCACAGTGTTACTATCAATAGGACCCACAGTGTTACTATCAATAGGACCCACAGTGTTACTATCAATAGGACCCACAGTGTTACTATCAATAGGACCCACAGTGTTACTATCAATAGGACCCACAGTGTTACTATCATTTACTCGTGTAATATTACAAACACAGTCATTTAATAAGTTAGCTTTATCTTCCTCATTAGTAACAGTAGTGTTAGTATGAGGATCTACAGGAGTAGGTGTAGATTGTGAAGTACCAGTTGATCTCATTTACCGTTTAATAAGTCTCCAGTAAGATTTAGGATCAGAGGACGAATACTCTTCAATTAAGACGGGGATAAAGGTATATCTTCAACACGAAGTCAGTTATGATAATCCTGGCCTGCCCGGGTGGTCAGGTGAACAAAGGTACCATTAAATATATATCTTGTAGGTTACGTGTGCTAGAATGGAAATAGCTGTTGAGTAAAAATCTCGTTAGCAGACCTTTGCAAGAAAGGACGCGATATTTAACCGATTATGAAAGTTACAGAGTATCAGCGTAATGTATTGCATCTCCAACAGGAAAGGAATTCTGTTTTTGAATATGTTTGCTAGCATCATCTTCCATGAACAAACAATATAGCAATTAATTACATACAATACAACTTTGGGCCAGGTGATGTGAAATAATCTACCGTAAATTCATATTTTTGCCCAGAAACGAGCATCTCTGTCACGGGGATTCTATACCCGTATTTTTTTTATAGAGCCAAGAGCTTATATTACTGTAATAATTTAACTGAATAGTTAACAATTATACTTGCAACAGAATGCCTCGAAAAGAATAGTATCTTCGTATTGATAATGGAGAGCAAATAGCCTAGAATATAGTAACAAAATAACTTTAGATTACGCTATATAAAATATGTCACAGGGCTGCTATAGGGCTCATACCCCCTTTTCACTTTTAGTATACAAAGTTTACGCGTTATTAACAGTGCCGTGCAAAGTCTTCTGTGATATTCTTGATACTAG